TATCGATAGCATCATCCCAGTTCCGATCCGGCATCTGCCCTACGTCATCCTCTTTGCAAAGAAGACGGAATTCCATGCGCTGAAAAGAGCTGTCCACTAATCTCCAAGTCTTGCCTGCCCAAATTGCCAGGTTCTTTGTTCCATTCATTCTTCCCGCTTCGGAACAATCAGACCACGCTTCTTCATCGATTCCGATGACCTTTCCCACCTCTCCTTAACGGCACAGTCGCTCTCCTCCAGATAACGATACTGCAGGCGCTCAATGTTGTTGGACGCGTTGAGATCCATAATCACAAGGATAAGGTCAATCTCCTCGTCCGATCCGTGTTTATTCTTCCTGTGGCGCTTGTATAGAGAAGTGATGCGACCTCGGTCTGCGACGACCAGGATGAAATCGAGGTGTGTGGTTTCGAACCGACGTCTGATCGATTCATCAAGCTTAATGAAGAACTCCTGGATTTCCTTTTTTCCAACAAACATATTCCAACCGTCCTCGATCGGACGGCCAGGGTCGCTTTCAAATGTCATATTCGCGTTGGGGTCCAACCAGAATGAGCGACGGTCGTCGAATGAGGTAGGATCCAACTCTAGAAGGTGCAGCAGATGTTTCGCCATCCTCTCGAGAAAGGGACGCATACTGATGTCGCGAGACTCGGTTGAAAGCTCGTCGAGGATGCGTGCCAAATCTTGAGGTTGGTCGAAATAATATTTCGAGAAATATTTCTTCGAGAAAATCGAGAGATCCATGGCGACAGGTCGATGGCTACGCCTTCATCTTTGGGGGAGAGTAGAAATGTCGAAGGCCGACTGATTGTGATTGTCGATGCTGAATCTGTATTCCAGTGAGAAATCCCGTTGGTCACCGGTGCTTTATATATCTTCAGTCTTGTCATCTTCGCCGCCATCGTTTACACCGTATTTGGCAGGGGAGGGTTCAAGCTGAAGCACCACAAATAGAGTACGGAACACAAACAATGGGCGCAGAGAATGTATTTCAAAGCTTCCGGTTCTTTCTTCGATGTTTGCAGAACTTCGTAACACGATGATGTCTCTCTCACACAAACGGATCTCCCTTGTTTTTCAACCGCCAGATATTTGTTGCCTCCCTGCAGAAACCACCAAAAGAACACCAAGTCGTTTCCGGTGCTTGTCTCCCCCATTCTTATCAGTTGTCCTCGTCAGTATCTTCGATGCCTTTTTCTGTCGTTTCCTTTCCTTGGTCGAGGCTAGCCACATGAAGTCAGCACGAGTTGCGAGATGGGGTTGACCACGGTGCTATCTGAGGAGATGATTGGAGCATACCTAATGTTGAGACGAAGACTCAGGCCTCGAGGGAGGTCTGCATGTCTTCCTGCTTCGCTTTGGACTCGCCAATAAGCTCTTCAACGGGCCTGTCTTCGGTAGAGTATTTGATCCGTCGGGACTCAACCCTCTTCACGTGTCCGGTCGAGTCCAAATCAAATACCAAGATATCGATATGCTTTCTGACCTCTTTGCAGGCTTTTTTGTAGAAGAATCCCTCAATGCGGCAGGTGATTCTTCCTCGGTCAACGATGACCCAGGTGGGGACTGTGACAGCAGACCATCCTTCTCTCTTTCGGTTTGCCACAGCTCTCTCATGACTGGCGACGACCTCTTGCTTGCCCTTGAATATGCCTCCGGGCACCTGAGTAGTCTTGATTCGGATGACGTTGTTGGCGTACCAACGTCCTGTCTCGTCGATGCGTCCGGCGTCAAGGCTCTGGAAGTAGGCGCGGACTCTTTGATCCAGTGTCTTCCGAATGCCGTAATCTCGGGAGCCGCCTGACATTTCTTCCAGAAAGCGGCGAAAGCTCTCTTCTTCGTCCGGAGCAGCCATATGGGCGTCGATCACTGGCTTGGCTGCGGTGCGGTGGTTGTCGTTGGCAAAAATGCTGCAGTGAGTTTCCTTGGAACTGGAAGCGTGGAGGAAGGAGCGACTCTGGCAGCCGAGCGGATGGGGGAGGCAGAAGCAATTGTGGGGCTCATAGGCGAAGGTGATCTCGAGGTGAATAAGAATCTGGCAGGGTGAATGAACAGCAGGAAGCGATGCGCCTCGGGGAGGAGATCCGCCCGTTGGCCTGTGATGGTTTGCCCATTGGACCTACGATAGGCTTCCTCTCCGCACGTCAATCTTCATCCCATCTACCCACATTCACTGTCTTCCAGGGTGAGATTCTCGCCGTCGGATCGCCTTCGCCTGGCGTCTATAAAGTCTGAAGTTGTCCCCTTCAATCCTCCGAGATCTCTCACCAAACATCTCAACTTGCAACAACTTTACCATACAGACCACATCTCGCAAAGCACACTATCCATTCGTCTGGCACGAAAAGCTTCCCGAACAAACTCATCGCCAAAGATGTCACAGCAAGAGCACCAGATATCGGCCATCGACATTCGGAAGTCAGTCAGAGACTTGGTCACTCTCAGGGGTGGCGCGAATATCTCCATTGCAACCCAGGATTCCAAGTTCCGACAGGAGGCTTACAGGCACACGCTCAAGTACCTCTCCGACTGGGCCGAGTACCATCCGAATGGCTTCAAGGAGTGGTACGTAGAGAACGTCGACATGCTGCGCCATACGGAGGGATTCGCGCGCCCCGAGGGCAGCCTCACCGGTCACAAGGGTATTGCGGTGGCCTTTCAGAAATTGGATCGTCTGCATCGAACGGCCGTGCCCATCATCATCCTCATCGATCGCGGCCGCATCACCTGCCACGCTGAAGCTTTCCTGCGCTCCAAAGACGGCTTCGGATTCACAAAGACGACGTACGTCTTCATTCTCGATCTCGACAGCAGCTGCAGGTTTCGGCGCGTCGAGCAACGCATCATTCGAGAGACGAAATTCCACATGGACGAGCTTGACAAGATGTTGGAGGATTCGAAGAGCAGGCGCATCTACCAATCCTTCTGACCGCGCAGCGAATGTGGCAGGACCATGCGTTCAGGAGCGATCAAAGTGGAAATAGGTCAAAGTGGAAGATAGGTGCACATTGCAAGGACATGGGCGGGAGAATTTGATATCATGACGGGGTGAGAAATAGCACTTTGATCAGACAGGAAGCTTGGGACTAGAGCAAGACAATCGTTCATGTACACAGACATCACCCATCAAGAACACTCACTGTGTTTTAAAAACAAAAGGAAATTGCAAAATCACCTTCCTATGAAAAGATTCAGGATTACTGCTGCTGCTTCTAATTGCCTAGCACACTCCCTAGCACACTCTTTGCAGGGTGACTTCAAGCTCACAAAACACTTTCTTTTCCATACGTTATCTTAACAGTGAAAATCTTTTCGGAATTGCTGAAAGTGTCTCTTTTCAGATTAGGTATTATCAATGTTGAAGGGCCTCCGTTGTGAACAACGTAGCAACTGAGTCATCCATAATGGACTATCATGGACAAGGAGGTCGTTCCTTACAGCTTGCTCGTCCTCCACCAGAAGACCAGACTTAAATCTGGAATTCTGAGTAGTCGCCCCCAGAACACCTATGAGGCGGGTTCAAGGGGCGGTACTTCTTCGCTCCGATATCTCTGTGTTCCATACGGATTATCTTGTTGTCATCGTCGAGGCTGATAATCCAGGCAATAATTTGCTCGGTACGGAGATTTTCGGCAGGGATGTCCTGGCGCATCTCAACGATGGACGTGATGTAGCCCTGGTCTACAATCATGTAGTCGACCTCAAAATAGACGGGTCCGCTGGCTTCCATCTCGGTGAAATGGGTAACGACTTCTTTGGCGCCGTGACAGATGCCGCCCAAACGAAGCGGGACCTTGACGAACTCGACATCATCCGCGAGCCAGGCCTTCACAGCATACCACTGGCCGCGGCTGGTGGCGCTAATAAACTCTCGCATAGCGGTCTCGTGGATGTTTTGCATGGCGATATCGTAGGAGCGTCTGGAGACTTCCTTTTCGAGGCGATCGAAGTCCTCGCGGGACGCGGGCTCGGGAGGCTCGAGACTGCTATTGTTTGCATCCCACGAGCGGGGTGCAAAGACGGGGATGTAGCTCGCCGCGGTTCCCATGCTTCCGCTCGAGGGAGTTCCGGGTGTGTCCATGGTTTCTATAACGAGTTAGGATTTTAGTCGTGGAATTTTCAGAGGGGAGGATGTCTTACCTGAGGAAGTGGTTGAATCCGTATCCGTGTCTTTACGGCGCGTCATGGGTCTTTCGAGTCTTGAGAGTGTAATTCCGTCTTTTCGATTCCTTTCACCATTACCGAGTCAGTCTTGTTGTTTTGGGAACGGAGAATAGGTGGTGGTTTGCGACAGAACTTTGGGGGGGGGGGGGGGGGGGGGGGGGGAAGCGCGGGGAGAGGGGTGGCACGCGAATCCACCGCTTTGGGTGCTTGAGAACTCTGGCGGGTGAGATTTATTCTACCAATCATAGCAGGTAGATGTGGCCAGAGAGGTCGAAGTATCTCACGTGGAGTTGATCCAACTGCGCACCTGGAAGGCACGCCTGTCTCAGGCGGCAAAGCAGTTTTTTTCAAATTTTCGTGGGTCAGACCGCACATGTTCAACATCTTGTACTAGAATTGAGGTCTAAAAGACAGATGATCGAGGCCATTTACACGACTTGCTCGAGGAAAATGTGTTTCTGAATTTATGATGGCTATCTAGCTCAATGACTGCCTGGTGTCCTCACTGATAATGCCCTCCGATGTTGTGTGTATCTGCCCAGCCTTGTTGTCCACGCAGTTGGCAATCTTTAGGGACAGTGACGGTGGTGGCGAAGATGCAGTCAATAGCGACGGTGACGAGCACGGAAGGCGGCGAGAATGAAAGGCGATAATATCGAAAGGCGACGAGAGAGAAAAGCGGTGAGGACGAAAAGTGTCGAAAACGTAAGGCGAAAGAGACGGCAACAGTCTTCTGCTCAAATCTGGCAGCACATTAGAAATGCTCTCCTAGCAAGAAAGCAATATGCGTCAACAGCGGCACATACCCTGCTCTGGTTCCTTATCCCTCCCAGTCAAGACAGGTAGTCAACGGCCATGGCGCCCTCCTCGATCTCTGTGATGAAAGCATCGAGGACCTGTCTACCTCCCTTGCGCTGTTTTTCGGTGCCAGCGACATCGCGGTACTCGAGACGTTGAATGCGATTGTTCTTGTCGAGATCAAAGATAGCAATTCTTTGGTATTCAGTGAACGAATCGAAGTCACCGGTGCCAAATAAGAAAATGACCACATGACAAGTAACGTGGCCTCTGTCAACGACGATCATCTTGGGAAGAACTCGCAATCCGCCCTCGATTGCAATTTCAAACTGCTGCTTCACCTCCTTCTGGCCTATCCAGATCCATCCAGGTCCTTTGAGACTAATGATCATGGTTGGACTGTCGCTGAAGAAGTCCATGATGATGTCCGAATCCCGTTCGTCATTCTCGATTGCGCGGAAGAACTGGCGTACCATTTGCTCGATAGCCGGACGCATGACACGGTCTCGAGACTGGCCAGCGAGCTCCGCGGCGTAATCTTCGAATTGATTTCGGTCGTAATCGTCGGGCATGATGCGCTGCGGTGCTTCGGACTATTCTGTGGGCTTTTGTTGCAAAAAGTGAAAGTTGGGGAGATGGTGAAGACAAGGCCGGAGTGGCGAACGCGAATGCGACGACAGGGAAGAGATGGACCTTGATATAGAACGTGATTTGTCTGGTGTTTATCAGCGGAAGCCTACGTTGAAGGCAGGAGCGGCGGGTGAAAATACCAGGCGTGAGGTGAGATGCTCCTGCGGAGGTGAGGTAAAACAATCACAAGCGAGGTGTGGGTTTGTTCAAGTTTTTTCATCCAAGGAAATAAAGATTTTTGAAAGGCGTATAATCATTATTCGTCGGACTCGACCACATATAATACTCGCTCCTTCTCGTTTTCCGCACCAAATATTTGAAATCCTCCACGGTCCCCCTTTGTCTTGTCTCCTGCCGAGTCGTAGTCCGAAACTCCACGCGCTTGAATTTGTACTCGTCGTCCAGGTCGATGATAGCCACCTCGTGCATTTCTCCAAACAGCGTGTCTGCCTCAACGACATCCAGCGTCGCGTCGTCATCTCTTTCGTCGATGTCGATCCACAAGTTGGTCAGGAAGCAAGTTACCCGCCCTCGGTCCACGAGCACCAACGTAGGCACCGTGACGCGTCGCATACCGTCGGCCTTCTCTCTGATGCGCTCGATCACCAGATCAACATCTTTGTCGATGATTTGGTTCGGACTTCTGAAGCCAAAGATGACTCGGGCGTCGTCGCTGAAGTAGCTCTTGACGCTCGTCCAGCGTTTCTCGTTGATATCGTCGAAGAAGACGCTGATTTTGTTTTCGATCTCGTATCGCAGGGGGCGGTCGCGTGAGTCGCCGGTTAGTTCGTCCGCGAAGACTTGGAACCGTGTGTGTTGGTTTCTTGAGCTCATGGTGCGCTTGAGGGCTCGAGAAAGCTATGATATTATTTACGTCTGCGGTTGATCGGGGTGGCTCAATGAAGCTGTGGTCGAGTGTGTTACAGTGCCATGAAACTGAGGGAAGGACAAATTCCTCTGTTTCGAGGTTCTCAGCTGAATTTGAGGAGACCTAGGTTGTTAACGGAGATGATGCACGGGAGAGAACAGGTTTTCAGGGTGGACTTGCTCCAGGGTCAAGCCGTCAAGGATGTCCTCAAGGGTTGTGATAATTCCTCCGACTTCGAAGTCCACCCGGGTGACAGGTGATTAAGTATTATGGGCAGACGTCTGCAGGGTATTTCCATATAAGCGAGCCACTCTCCGTATGCCATTTCTGATCTTCTTGAGGCAGCAAGCGTGTACCCCAATCCCATGCAATTCAACAGGTTCCTTCCAGTCCGGCCTCAGTTGGCAATCCATCATACATCCCCTTGAATACGAACCTTGAGCTTCTCACTCTGTAAGGCAAGAGCGTCGACGCTGGCTTCTCCAAGGTGCTCCATTCCCAACTGGCGCCATTCCACGCGCTTGACCTTCATGTGTTGCTCATTGAGATCAAAGACGACCACCTCGCGTACCTTGAGAACGTCGCCGAAAACAACCGTCGGCCAGCCCACAAATGGCGCTTCGACCGGCTCCTCGACGAACATTTCGCCGTCTTCCTTGTCGTCCTTGCCCAGCCACCTGTAATACGTCGTTATTCGGCCGCGATCGGCGATAACAAGGACGGGGACAACGACGATGTCCGTCTGCTCCTGGAGGTTGGTGAAGTGCTGAATAACCTCATCGTGGCCCTTGAGGATCTCCCCGTCGAGAGTGGTATCCAGACCCAACACCATGGTAACATCGTGGGCGTACCACTGGGTAACGCGGTCGTAGTCCTCGTGCATGAGGAGACCAATGACGTGGTCCCGAGCCGTCTCTTCGAGGGCGCGGCGCAGAGCAATGTCCCGAGACTCCCCGGAGAGCTCGGCAAGAATCCTGTGGACTTGCTCCATGGTGGGACAAGTCGAGGCTCTGGTCCAGGTAATGTCAGCAAGTATTGGGTGAAGATTGGGTGGGAACAAACTCACATTTCTTTCGATTGAAGCAAGCTGAAAGCAAGGCTAGTCAGCAAAGGCAAGTTGCTTCTGGTTGATGCCAGAGTCTTTGTACTTGTTTTAGGGTGAGAAGCTCAACCTAGAAGAGATTCAGGCAAGAAGGCGGAAGGGAAATTTGAAGGAGGTAGCATTGTTCCCGCTCCTTCCTTGTTTTGAAAATAAAGCGTATTGTCGTGCGTGTCAGTCAAACTCGACAGAGGACAGGCAGCCGGGCAGCTCACTCTACTCAACACGACAACGCGGAGAACGAGGAGGAAAGGTTCATGTTGCGCGATCAAGTCAGTCTGTAGTTTCAGTACTCTTCTTCCTTAGATTTTGCGGGATCTACTTTCTTCATCCGTCGTCTCAATCATTATTCTCTCTACTATTATCGTTTGTTGAAACGACTGAGTGAACGTAGGAAAATTTAAACTACCCGACTTTTAAGACCCCCCCCCCCCCCCCCCCCCCCAAAAAAAAAAAAAAAAAAAAAAGGAGAGAGAGAAAAAAAAGGTCCAACAGTGGCGCTACCGAGGATCGAACGATGCGTACGATGAGTAACGGCGGAAACTTCACGCAACACACTAGTCATCGGACAACCACCCCTCGACCATCTGGCCGGATGCTTGTTGGTGACAGATTCAGAAACAGACGTTGCCCATGAGGGTGCCGCAGCTTCACCTTCTGTGGTGGGGCCTAAGGCAGCAACCATCTTTCAAGTTGGCTGCCTGCTGGGTACCTAGCCTTATTGACTCCAGCCCATGAGCTAGAAAGATGTACAGGAAAGATGCGGTCTCCTTCCAATACATATGGTCGAATATTCATGCTCGAATAAGTATCGTGAGAATCCTCCAAGACAAGACCACGTTCAGCGCCCGGAGCTCAACCGCACATTCCCCCGCGTGGCGACGATCGGCACGGGACCGAATCTCCCCATCCGGGCCAACCTTACCAAGAGCGGTATAGCTAGCATGCCCGGCAAAAGAGGAGACACAAACATAGAGTTCACCCCGGCAGGATGGGAACCTCACAGACCCCAACCCGGGCGGCGAGAAATGACGTTTTCTTACACAACGCTCGATCCTCCCGTTGTCTTTCTGGCGTTTATTTAAGCCTCGTCTAGAGTTTTGCGTACGTCTACGGACCGGGCGCGGCGCCGACAAGGTTTCAGGCATTTTTCAACTACATCTCCGTCCTCCCTTGCGCCACTGAACACCACCCTGGGCAGCAAAGGAGAAATCTCACAGTACCAGACACGATGCCGAACCAGATGCCCACGAAGCAGTGGTACAAGGACGACTACCTCATCTCCATCGATCGCTCGCTCCTCCAGCTGGATGCCATCAATGACGCCTTCGACTCGGAGTTGCTGTGGTGGGCGAAGCGCGTGGATGAGGGAGTGTTGCGGCGGATGATTGATAATTCGCTGTGTCTGGGCGTGTACAAGCTTCCCCAGTCCACCTCCGAGATTGCAGGTTCGTAAGCTCCGTCGTTGTCCTGTGAATGAATGCTCACACCGCGCAGGGAAGAAGGGACCAGAGTTGGTCGGCCTCGCGAGGGTCGTCACGGATTACGTGAGCTTGGCCTATCTGTCCGACGTGTACGTGCTGCAGGCGCACCAGGGCAAGGGCCTCGCGCCGTGGTTGATGGAGTGCTTGAACGAGGTCCTGAACGAGTGGCCCGACCTGCGGCGGTTCCTCCTCCTAACGTCGTCGCCGCAGGCGAGCAAGTTGTATGAGAAGACTCTTGGGACGACGGAATGGGGAGCGTCGCATGACGGGAAGTTGTATCTGCTGGAGAAGCGCGGGCCCGCGATGCCGGATGGGCCGTCGGATGAGGACAACTATTGAGGCTGGCGGGGTGGTCTTGTCGCGGTTTTATGGCTTATACCTTGACGGAGGTCTTGCCGTAGGCTCCGCCGGCGGCCTTTCTCAGTTCGATGGCACGCTTGTAAGGGGGTGCGGTAGGAGGCTGGACAGGGTCGAGAGAAACGTGGTCTTCAGGCAGTTGGTAGGAAGCATCTGAGTCGAATGCTGAAAGGTCGCCGCATGCGATGAAGGGTGCAATCCATCTGATGTGCTTCTCGTGGTCAGTGGTCTCGTCCGTCTCGTCGTAGGCCTCGACCTCGACAATTTCGCTTTCGCCTTTGGTCGCGGAAGCTGTGAGGGCAGTGTCCCAGGTGCCAGTGAGAGGGTTCTGCATGAGCGCGTTAGCGACAACAGGAAGTTGGGCCGTTCTCTCCTCAACCATCTTGGGCAACTCATGGCCCACGCCGAGCGGGTTCTCCAGGCTAGCTTGGAAGCCGGCGGGGGGCTGGAAGTTGATGCAGACGATGAAAGCCTCGACACTGCTCGCGCGAGAGGACCTGGGCTTCGCCACAATGACTGTCTCGAAGAAGACCTTGAGCTGCGCGTAGAGGAGGTCGACATTGCGGCCGCGGAAGATCTTGGCGACGAACTTGCCGCCGGGCTTCAGCACGCAGAGGGCGAGGTTGAGCGCGGCGAAGAGGAGCTGGGACTGCACGTAGATGTCGAGGTCGTGAAGGCCAGTGACGTCGGGGGCACCGTCGCTGATGACGAGATCGACGGGGCTGGAAGCCTGCTTGCTCTTGGTGGTAGCATCGTAATCGGAGTCGAGAGCCTTCAGGAGCAGGGGAACGGTGGCAGGGTGAGTGATGTCTGCACGTAGGGTGATGATGCCAGGCAGAGGGCTGATGGGCTGGAGATCGATGGACACAATCTTGACGTCTTTCCTGGGCTGAGGCTCTTGAGCATCTGCCCCAGCCTTCTCAGGTACCTCGGAGTCAGGAGTAGAGGGGAAGACGCCGAGCATCTCCTGGCGGAACTTGGCCTCGCGATCCTGCCATGCCGAACGACCAAACTTCTCGCCCTTGATAAGGACACGAGACAGGACCTGGGACCAACTACCGGGGGCGGCACACAGGTCAACGACTCTCGTCACATTGGCGAACAGGTCAAACTCTACGAGGGCATCAGCACGCGAACTTCATGCATGGCGGGGTAGAGTGAGTCACCTTCATCGAGCTGCAGCAGCTTGAATGCACTGCGTGCACGCCAGCCTTGCTCCTTGGCGAGACGGTAATAGGCATCACGCTTGTCCTTTGAAGATTTGCCCATGGTGACGAGGTGTTGGTGTCGATGTGGCTGATAGTCGATCTGGTGGGGGATGCTTCAATCGACGGACACAGCGAGATGGAGGGGTAGATTTTTGGAGGGGTCCTGTTCCCGCGGCAAAAAATTTGCTGCAGCGGTGACGGTGGCCGTAGGGCTGAATTAAGCTGTGGTCGGTGCGTCGCCCAGCTCAACACAGGGGACCTTCTCGGGCGAAGTATGTTCCGGGTCCGCTAAAATTTTCTGGCGGAAGCACTGAGCTTTGGCGGCAGTCGCTGGGCGCGAATGCTGCTGGAAATTTGCTGCAGAATTTCCGCGGGGCATTTCCAGCCCGAACATCCATCGACGAGGACAACAACCACCACAACCGCTGCCGCCATGGACCAACTCAAGAAGCAGAAGAGAAAGCAGCAGCCTTCCAATGCCAGCCAGGCACCCCAGAAGCGCCAAAAGTCCGGCATCGTCAAGACCGCCCCCAAGAAGCGCAGTGTCGCCGTCAGCAAGCTACCATGGAAGAAGGTCGACGTGCCGGAGATGTTCGACGATGCGGAGGGTTTCTACGGCTTGGAGGTGATTGAGGGCGTTGATATTGTCAAGAAGGGCGAACAGGTCGAGTTTGTGAGCATTCGCGCCCCTGGAAGTAATCCCAACCATGGCTGACCACCCCAAAGGTGACTGCTCTTCCCACCGCCGACGAGATGGACCAAGACGAGTTCGAAGGCTTCAGCGACTCTGAGCCTGTCCCTGCGCCGACCGCCGACAAGGAGGAAGTACAAAATGAGACAAAGAAAGCCAAGAAAGAGAAGGCCAAGAAGGAGCAAAAAGCCAAGGATAGCAAGAAACCTGCCGACTCAACAGACGAGCCCGCCGCCGAACCGAAAGCCGATGCCCCCGAAGGTGCAAAGAAGAAGGAGAAGAAGCAGAAGCAGAAGAAGACACAGCCGAAGCATGAGGACGCCAAGCTTGAGAGCAACGTCTTCACCGCCCTCGAGGCCGCAGAGGAAGCCGAAGAAGACCTCGACATGAGCCAATGGATCGACCTCGGCCTCTCCCCAGCCATCGTGTCCGCCATCGCGAAGCTGAAATTCACAAAGCCATCAAAAATCCAAAAATCCTCCATACCCGAGATCCTCGCCGGCCACGACGTCATTGGAAAGGCGTCCACTGGTTCCGGTAAGACGCTCGCGTTCTCGATCCCCATCGTCGAGGACTGGATCGAGAAGTTTGACGCCAAGGACGGCGAGAAGGACACCGAGCACGCCCCTACCGCCCTGATTCTCTCCCCGACAAGAGAACTCGCGCACCAAATCACAAACCACATCAAGAACCTCTGCGCAGGCCTCACCAACGCCCCCTTCGTCTGCTCCGTCACTGGTGGACTCTCCGTCTTCAAGCAGCAGCGCCAGCTCGCCAAGGCCGACATCGTCATCGGTACACCCGGCCGTCTCTGGGAGGTCATCAGCTCCAGCACTGAGCTCTTGTCTGGCTTCAAGAAGATCCGCTACCTCGTAGTCGACGAAGCCGACAGGCTGCTCAGCGAAGGCCACTTCAAGGAGGCAGGCGAGATCCTCGACGCCCTCGACCGCGAGGCCGTCGACGAAGACGAAGACAAACAAAACCTCACCCCGCGCCAGACCCTCGTCTTCTCCGCCACCTTCCACAAGGGCCTGCAACAGAAGCTCGCAGGCAAGGGCAAATGGGGTCTCATGTCGGAGGAGGAATCGATGGAGTACCTCCTCAAGCGCCTCAACTTCCGCGAAGAAAAGCCCAAGCTCATCGACGTCAACCCCGTCGCGCAAATGGCCGCCGGCCTCAAGGAGGGCCTCATCGAGTGCGGCGCCATGGAGAAGGACCTCTACCTCTACACCGTCCTCCTTCTCAACCCGAACCGCCGCACCCTCGTCTTCACAAACTCCATCTCCGCTGTCCGCCGCCTCACGCCCTTCCTCCAGAACCTCAACCTCAACGCGCTAGCTCTCCACTCGCAAATGCCGCAAAAGGCGCGTCTCCGCTCCGTCGAGCGCTTCACAGCCGCGAAGGAGGGCATCACATCCGTCCTCATCGCCACCGACGTCGCCGCCCGCGGTCTCGACATCCCCGGCATCGACCAGGTCGTGCACTACCACGTCCCCCGCGCAGCAGACATGTACGTCCACCGCTCCGGACGTACAGCGCGCGCGGAGCGCACAGGTCTGAGCATCATCCTCTGCGGGCCGGAGGAGGTCGTGCCGACGCGGCGTCTAGCCGCCAAGGTGCACGCCGAGCAGGCGAGCAAGAAGAAGTACCTCATGCGCACGATCGACATCGACCGGCGCGTCGCTTCCAAGCTCAAGCCGCGCGTGGACCTGGCCAAGAAGCTGGCGGACGCGACGCTGGCCAAGGAGAAGGGCAGCAAGGAGGACGATTGGGCGCGCGCGGCGGCGGAGGAGCTGGGCGTCGAGTACGACTCGGAGGAGCTCGAGAAGGCGGGCAGCTGGGGCGGGCGCGGCAGCCAGCGGAAGAAGAAGCTGAAGGAGAACCAGGGGCTGACCAAGGCGGAGATGGGGGCGATGAGGGCGCAGCTGAGGGAGCTTTTGGCCAAGAGGGTGAATGCGGGCGTGAGCGAGAAGTATCTGACGGCGGGCGGCGTGGATGTGGATGAGCTGTTGAGGGGTGGAGGCGGGGATTTCCTGGGCAGGGTTGATGGGCTTGACATCGAGGACTTTTAGGTAATGGATTAATGGAACTCTGGAGCATTTGATGCACATTTTTTACTTTGTCAACGCCGGCTGCTTCACACATCGTGTCACCACCACTCACGATCACGGGCACGATTTTATCGAAGCATCATTGTATTCATCCGGTCTGGGTCCATATCCTTCCTAACCTTCCATACCAATTTTAGTTGACCATCTCTGACCTAGACCAAGCCCTTCCCTTGGGCGGAAACATTGCAAACAAAACCTGTGCCTACCATCGGCGAAAAGCAAGAAAAAAGTCATCAAAACTAAACAAACGTCGCAAACCAATCTCAGTGTCGTAATCCAACATCATCCCCTCGCTCGTGTACCCTATTTGTATTTGAGTTCGAACATGCCATTATCGTCAATTTCGGAGTCCTTCGCCGTATCGAAATCTATTCCGTTAGGGCCAAAGAGATCTGGGCCGTGGGCATCCGGGCTGTGAGCCTCTTGGCTATCGCCTTCATCATTGGCATTTGGGCCATTAATGTTGCTGTACCAGTTCATGTTGAACTCTGACTCTTCTTGCGAGTCTTCTTCTTGCATCTCCTGGTCGGAGTATTCGTCTTCCGTGTCGTTGCTGCCCGGGGGCAGGTAATCCGCGTCGGGGTGCTTTCCAAACTCCGGGTCGCCCTCCTTGGGGAACGGGTCGGTGAAGGGCTTCGGGGAGCGTGATTGGAAGGTTGGACGAACGGTGTATGCTCCTCCGGCCGCAAGCTCTCGCAGTCGGTGGAGGTATGCCCCAGCGTCCTCTTGTGCCACAGCTCTCTTGGGCGGGGGATGGCGGGGAGTCGCAGGCGCTTGGTTTGAAGCCTGCGCGACGGGGTCCGACCGAACCCACGGCTCGCGGTCGGGGGTAAGGGACTCTTTGTCCATGAAATTACGGTCAGCCATGCGGCGGCGGGGGGTCTTGATCTTCCTGTCCTTCGGGACGGGCTCGGGCTCGGGTTCTTCGTGGTTGACGTTTTTCTTAATGAAGTTCATTAGCTGTTCGAGAAACGCGAGGGGCAGCTCGTTGTCGTCCAGGAACTTCCTCGCGCTTTCTTCGGGGGTCTCGTCGGCATGGTAGACCATGAGGAGGGGCGGTTCGCCGTCTTCGATTTCGACGTCGAGATTCCACTGCGTTGGTCTCTTGACCGGCGCCTTCCGCGCGGTCTTGGGTCGATCCGGATTGCTGGTGACCGGCTGCTTGCGAGCAGTCTTGGGGTGCGCTGACTCGGTGGTGGTAGTCTGCGGCTCGCTGGGCTCCTCTACCCCTTCCATAGGCTGATCCATCTTGGTGGACGGGGACCCCGTTTCCTAGCTGGGGCCCTTCGGGGCTTCGCCGTTGGGGAGCTTCTTGGGAGCCTTTTTCGCATGACGAGGGTGGCGGACCTTCTTGTTCCCGAATTTCGGAGTAGGAGGCTCTGGCGGCGGCGGAGCAGGCTCCTGAGTGATTCGGCGACGAGGCTTCGCAATCTTTCTTTCCGGAAAGGCTGCGAAGAGTGGGTTGGGCTGCGTCTCTTCGGTCTCTTGCTTTGCGGGTGTTTGGCCCCGAGGCTGCGCGTTCTTTCGGTCCGGAGGAGGTGCAAGATTCTGGAAGAACGAGGTGGGCTGCGTCTCTGCGGTCGCTTGCTTTGCGGATGTGTTGATGGGGACGTTGAGGGTGAACGTGCTACTTTGGAGCATCTTCTTGCACGCCTCTTCTGTCCTCAGTGTTTCCGCCTCGATCATCTTCTTGAACTTCTTCTGCTCCTCCTCTCCCTTCATTGCATCCAGCTCGCGGTCCACCTCCTTCTCGAATTCTTCGCCAAAGAGGTCTGCCATTGTGTCATTCTGCGGCTCAGCATTTTCCATGGACACATCCCCAGTGGCGTCCGGCGCGGGAGAGGGCGCAGGTCCTTGGGCTGGAGATGATCCAAACAGAGAACCGAAAGATGACTTTCTGGCCGATGACGCTTGAGCTGTCGCGGCCTCACCACCAGGGGTGGCAGCGACTGGTCCTTGAATGGCATTGTTTGCGGGGACGATCCAGTTCTTGGGCGGCTCTGAGTGTTCCTGGGCGGTCGTGTTGCTGCTCGAAGCGTTGGGGGTGGCAGGGCTTGGAAGAGCAATCGTCGCGGGAACAGCCCAGTTGTTAGCTGGTTGCGATGGGTTCTGAGCGGGATTGCTGCTGCTTGAGCCCGTCTTAGAGGCCGCGTCGCCAGCTGTCTTGCCTCTCAGGTGCCGGTTCTCAGCTCGGAGTCTGTCACAATCCCGTTGGGTTTTCGCCATGTCCCCCTCTAGCTTCTTGCGCTCCTTCATGAAGTTCGCCTCCTTCATGGTCTTGGCATGCAAGAGACGCTCCATCTCATCGTACTGCTTGGTGTGACTCTGAATCATCTCGGCCATCTTCTTGTTCATTTCCGATGAGACGTTTCCGCCGTTCTGCAGTTGTCTCTTCTCCTCGTTGAGCTTGTCATTGGCGGCTTGGTAACCCTTTCGCAATCTTTCTCGCTCGTTATCAAACTCCTCTCTCTCGTTGGCGAGGGCTTGTTGCCGCTCTTCAAGCTCTTCCTCGGGCTGCTGCATCTGCTGCTGTAACAGTTGCTCCACTTGTTGTTGTACCTGCTGTTGTACCTGCTGTTGTACTTGCTGTTGTACTTGCTGTTGTACTTGCTGTTGTACTTGCCCTGCCATGGCCTGCCTCTCTTGGACAATCGCCTGTTGCTGCTGGGTAATCTCGTGTTGCTTTTGGGTAATCTCTTGCTGATGTTGGGTAATTTGTTGGTGATCGGCAGTATTCTGGGCCTCCTGCTGGTGCAATGTTTGAGCCCACTGCGCAAGCTGCGGTTCGCGGCCCTCCACATCTGCGAGTGACTGGTTCTGAGTGGCCGACTTGCCCAGCTGGTCCGCCTGAGCCTGCACTTCTGCCTGTATTTGAAGAACTTCCTGCTCACGCTGGGCGATTTCTTGCTTCTTGTTGTGGAAGTCTTGCTCAGCAGATGCGGTGGCCTTCTCGAGTTTCTCTCGGTCTTGCTGGACCTGGCGCTTCTCATTCTCAATAGCTTCCCGATCTTGTTGGACATGGCGCTTCTCAGTCTCAATCGCTACCCGGTCTTGAGTGAGGTCGTTGCCAAGCTTGGCGGTCCTCTGCTTTTCCTGCGACAAAGCCGCCGACAACCGTTGGACTTGCTGGTTGATGTCGGTACCGACGTTGGTGCGGGCCTTCTTCAGCTCCTCAAGCTCTTGGTTCTTCGTTGCAAGCTCCTGGCTCTTCTTGTCGTACGAGTTTCGGATTGTTGCGACCTTGCTATCATCATATGCGGCCCGTTCATTGAGGCTACTTATCTCTGCGTCCTTGGCGGCGATTGTTTGCTGTGCGTTGTTCTCGCGAGCCGCAAGCGTGTTCTTTTGCTCATCGAGCGCCTGCAACTTGGCAAATAAATCCTTCTCGGTGATCGCCTTGTCTTTATGCCAATTGTCGTATTCCACGCGCATGTTATTCTTCTCTTTTTCAAATTCCTCCCTGTCAGCTCGAAGTTGGTCTTGTAGAAGATTTCTCTCAAGTTTCATCCTCGTTGCGTACTCTTCCTCGGTGCGCTTTTTCAGTGTGGCCTCGACCATCTTCGGGGTTTCGGGCTGGTGGATGATATCGAGAAGCTCCGCAGGGATGTTCAGAGGTTTGATGATATTCCGCAGGTTTTTGTTCGTTTCTCTAAGCAGTCTGTTGCTTGCTGCCATGTTGTCGTTTTCGGCTTTTTGGTCCTTGCCGACCATTCCCTCAAGCTTCTCAACCTCCTTCTTCAAGGACTCGACCTTCTTTGCTTGCTTGTCGTGACTCTTCTTCCACATTTCAGCTTCTGACCAATGCTCGCTAACCTTGAGACCAAGCCTCTTGGCCTCGTCTCTGAGCTTATCCTGCAAACCTTTCACTTGACCTTCGTAATTGGCGATGAGCTTGGTGTTCCACTCGTGGAGATCCTGTCTGTCCTCAATTTGCTTCTCCAAAGCCTTGATCTGGTTGTCCTTGTCCTGAAGCTGGTCTTTGATCGTCTGGATGGCCTTCGACTCGGGCTTGTATTGTTCGAGTTGTTTCTGTTGTTCGGCGATCTTGTTCCGTAAATCCCGAGTGATCCTCTGGATATCCCAAGACTGAACTTTGGCATCGACCTTCTCCTGAAGTTTTCCGATCGTTTCGAACAGCAATGCTCTATTCGTGTCCCACTCGTTTCTCTCGTTGGTCTGAAGCGACTCCAGCACGCCGTTGCGATCGCACTGTTGGTCCAATTTTGCTTCCAAGGCCTTACAGTTGGATTCCCACTTCTCGCTCCTGCTTTTCCACTGGTTTCTTTCGGTCCTCGTCTCGCGGTAATTTTCTGTCAACTCATCGATGAGCTTCTTGTAATAGGTGCGGTCGCTTTCGTCCAGAATATCGACGGGTTTCTTGCCGGAAAGGGCGCGAAAGGTGTCCTGGATGACGATGGAGAAGGCGCAAAGTTTGCCCAAAACTGTGTGGTGATCCGTGATAGTGACGAGACCCGAGACCAAAGCTTTCTGTATCTTTAACAAGCCATCGAGAAGTTGCTGAAAAAGAGGAATGATGGCGAGTATGCTGTAGTTGTACGCTGCCTGTTGTATATTGGCGGCTGTCTCGGGCGAACAGGACAGGGACGGGGTGAGGCGACGGAGAACGGGGTTCAGAACTTGAACAAAGAAGAAGGCGAGGGAAGGGATGATGTGCAAAAGCAGAAAGACCATGAGGATCTCCCAGAAGTACTTGACGACGAGGTGTGAGAGGAAGTCGTAGGCGTACGGAATTGCTGTGACGAGCCACATGACCACGGAGAGGGCGAGGAAGCCCTTGGTGACCAGAGGCCATGGGTCGGGAAGCTTTCCCTCGTCCATTTTGGACGCTTCTCTGGGTAATCTGAATGTGTTCAGGCGATGGGTAATTGGTAAAAGTGAGGTGGTTGATGATTGGGTGGTAAAATGCGTGTGTGAAGTGTTGAAAGTGAAAATGGGAAGAATCCGTGAAGAGTTGGGATTTCTGGAGATTGGAAGAAGTTGAGACTGTTTTTTTTTTTGGTCTTGGGCGGGATGGGAAAGGCAGGTCGAAGTCGGGGGGGAAGGCGCGTATGCCTGGGATCCGGAGGGCGCGCCTGCCACGTTAGGGGAAGGTGCGGAGGCAGCGGGTGGCAGAGTGCAACGGGAAATATTTACCAGTGTTTTCCCAGCTTGCTATACAAGAGATACAGTGGTGTTGGAGTTTCAAAAGTGCTCTGGTCTGCGAAGGGGTTCTGATTCGGGTCCAAAAAGGGGAATTTGTCGCTGTCTCGAAGAAGTGAGGCTGAGTCCGGGCTCCAGGGCCGGATATCTTCAGATACACAAGTCTGCAGGGATTTCAAGTGTCGATTGACGATTACAGCCGTCTCCATTAGCATTTTCAGTTCTACCTGGGAATCTACGTAGTTATATGGGCGATGGCGGAGGCCAACAATGGCACGTATCATAACCAAAGGTAGCTAGCATCAGGAACCAACGCCTTTCAAGGAGGTCCATTGTTGATTTTCGACAACCGTGGAATATAAAGAAGACTGCAGTGCTTCTTTCTTTCACTTGAAAACTTTAACAATGGGATTGTTCAGGGTAGCGGGTGCGAACCGCAAGTACCTAGCATCCTCTGGGCTTCGGCATTGCAAGCCCCAGGGCCTCTTCAGGAGGCTTTGGAGCAGCTTGGGGGTGTATTTGCACACCATCTGAGCTACCCATTTGCAGGACCTCAGCACTGTAAGGTACCTCAATGGAAACTAAAGAGCTGGCAGGCGGAAGGCACAGGCAGCTCCGCTTCAAACTTCAAAGCGATCAAAGAACACTTGCGAGCTCACATCAAAGGCTGCCCATGTTGTTTGAGAGAGCTGCAGGAGACCCACTTCTTTCGCACAGAATGAAAGTGTTGTTTGTTGCGCATACGGTGTGCCCTGTGTTGTCTCGGTGACAGATTGCGATCTGGTGATGACGAGGTGAAGTCGCAGCTGACCGAACCTTGACCGAGCGTTGACCGACCCCCACCGACACAATTGTGGAAGCTGACCGGCCGAGAGCCTGGGTCTCTGCGCCACAATCCCATCGATCCCAGAATCCGCAGTGCCGGTGGAAGAACGGACGGGACGGGACGCCCAACCGTACGAACTGCACCCTGATGAGGCCCGTCGAGGCCCGTCAACCTTAAACATCTGGATTGCCTTCGGTATTCGACGCCTATTGGTCGAATATACGATTGACAGAGTTATGATTTCAAGGCGCCAGATTATCAGATGTTAAATCGTCACGTGTAGCTTTATTGATTTTACGGCCTTCCATAAGTTCAGAGCTGATAAGGCAACAGTCTCCGCGTTGATACTCGAAAACTACAAAACATTTTCCTCGGAACCCCAAGCGTTTGAGTATTAGAACTTTTGGTATCCGTACAGACAGAAACATCAGTCATTTTCCTCGAGGCCGAAGACCCTGAAAACGAGCAGTTGAAATTACCAGTGGTAGCTGCAGCCCAGTTCGGACATGTGTGGTTTGTGTTTACACTTGACGAATGCGGAACGCCTTGTCGCTACAGTCGACTTGTTCGAGACCCCGCCCGTTGCGTCATTGAACCTACTATATACGGACTGCAAAGTCTCAAGGTTTTTGAATTTTCTTCTCTTTCCCCAAATTGACAACATCGCCGGTCACGACGTGAACAGCTGAAATTTCTTAAAGCCTCGAGATCTCCCTCAATCACTGGATTCCCAATTAGTTGATCAGACAGCGGTGTCTTCAACAGCAGTCCTCCTCACCAAGCATCTCTACCAGAATTTTTGTTCCCATCTCAAAAATGGCCACTCTCCAGAAACCTTTCGTGAAGCAAGCGGTTGCGGCGATCACGGCGGCCAAACCTCTTGATGTAGCCGGAGGCTGCTTTTCCCCTGACAACATCCAGACAACTGGGGAAGTGCTCGATGCCTCAACCAACGAGACCCAACATCAATATCAAGAAAGCCGAAGATCCAACGATTCCATCAGCAGCGAATCTAGCGACTCCACCTCCATCATATCCATCAGATCCAACACCAGCGAAGCCGCTACTAGCGAGTCTTCCCTCGAATCGTCTGACATTATCACCGAGGACAGCGTAAACATAGCCTCCTCCGAGAATACAACGCAGGATACCTCTCCTGCAACGCAAGATACCTCTCCTGCAACGCCAGATTACTCGGGAAAGGCATCCAGGAAGGGGTCCCGGACCAGCAGCTGTGACTCCAAAGCCAAAATTCGCAAGCAGGAGCGCCTAGAGCTCAAACAACTAGAGCTCAAAGAACAAGATCTCGATGAAATAGTAAAGACAGTGGTCGAAGTTGAGCAGGCAAGACGCGAGTCCGTCCAAGAGGCCGTGGAGTTCATCAAAGATTTTGTCATGGAAAACTGGGAGACCGAGTGCGAGAACGGCCACGTCAAGATCACCTGCGATATCACAATGGACAACATGATGGAGATTGGTCGTCTTGAACAGAAAGAGGGGTGGCGGGAGTGTCTCAAGCTGGTCAAGGCTCCTGTCATTCACGACGCAATCGGCCTGGGCCTCTGGCAGGAGCTGGCCAAACAGGTACTTGAAAAAGACGCTCTGGAGAAAGCCGTCTCAGAGGAAGCCGCCCTGGAGAAAGCCGCCCTGGAGAAAGCCGCCCTGGAGAAAGCCGCCCTGGAGAAAGCCGCCCTGGAGAAAGCCGCCCTGGAGAAAGCCGCCTCAGAGCAAGCCGCCTCAGAGGAAACTTTGGCCGTGATCAAAAGGTCACTCGGTGATCTCTTCAAGGGGACTGATGCCCACAAGAGGAAGAGAGAAGGCTCCGGTCAAATGGAGGATGTCCGAAGGGCAGTGCCGAGGTTGGCGGCGAAATCCAACATGATCGATTCCGTCCCAGCAGACACCTCGACTTCTGAGCAGCACAGTAGCAACAGCGACGTGTCTACATCCCTCGTTAAGCTGAATCAAGTCCCATGCCCGACGTGCAAGCGGGAACGCGCTTGTACGCCGCCGGCCAGCCCTGTGGATTTCCCAAAAAGGGACAGCATCTCGAGGCGCCTATCTTTGCGATTGACGAGTTCTTTTGGAGATATGGCGGGTGGTTATGGAGGGAGATTCACGGCGTGATGCCTGAGGATACCAGGCGACTTTGAAGGCGTCATCAGGCGGGATGAGGAACAAGATAAGAACCGGTGAGGCTTGTGATGGCGGCGAAAAGTCAGAGTTTAAGAAGTAGCTGTCAAGATTGAATGATACCACAGGGCGTAGATCCCACACGATAAACTTTGGAAGATCACCTTGGCGACATCGGTATATTGTGCAGCTTCGAAGGGCCTGGCCCAAGAGGTGCCATGCTTGAACTGAGGTGAGATTTGCGTGGCGTCTCTCTTCATGCCGCATGTGAGCGCGATTGAAGATTACCTAAGCGGTGTGGCCGGTCCGATTACCTAAGGCCTGGTGGAAAGTCCGTGCTGATGATCCGCTCCGTTCGGCCGAGTCCAGTGGCTTACGTCATCCCTCATCTTGGCCAAGGGCAATCCCTTCCATCGCCGGCTCCATGTCTCTAAATCCCTCCTCCAACACTGGATCCATGTTTCTTTGGCCCCCTGTCAGCACTCAAAGTCCATTCAGGCACGGAGGCAGGCCGCATGGCAGATGGAGCACTGCTTCTTTCAACCTCACGCTAAGTCGCCCTGCCAGCAATTTGACGCTGCACGCCAAAGACAGCCGGACATATTTTTGTCGCGCACTTCGTCCTTGCTTGACCAATGGCCTTGGGCGCTCATGTTTGAACTGCTGCAGGTCCCTGTCTGTGGCGTTCGCTGGCGCCCGACTCAATTTCGCGCGACCCATCATCGTCTACCGTCAACGTGAACAACAACCCCACAGCAAGCGCAAGAAGCGTATCCGTACCTAGGTTTTGTGAGTCAACTTGGAGGAGTTGTCGGAATCGTGCCGAAAGGATACTACCAACTGCGGTATCGGAATCATCAAGCGCATCCTGCTTGACGCAGCCTAGCAGCCTCTCCAAATCGCATTGCCATGTGTGCCAACGCTGGCTGCTCTCTGGCCAGCAAGGGTCGTCTTTGATTGCGCGACGCCATGCCGCTTCAGCTGAAAATCGCGTGGAGACGCCGTTATCGTGTCTCCTGTCCCCAACGGTCGACGGTGTGATTGCGAGACGTTCGCTTGGTAGCTGGGTGCCCGTCTCCAGATGCTCCAGCATGCTCCGTGTTGCCGAACCACCTCGGTTCTTCTTCGTCAGATGAGTTAAGTCGCTCTGGTGCCGCGAGTGGAGTTCGTCCCAGGCAGAATCGTTCAACCTGACTCCGTCATTCGCGGGATCAGATCACGTTGAGGTCGCCCTTGGCTGCTTTTCAGCTGGCAGGGGGGGCGCGGGCTGCTTTGGCGCTATCGTGACAGGGGTAAAGTGTGCCTCATGGAGTGATCGCCCGTCAAACCACCAAATCTGCCACTCCGCGATGCGGAACTTACTCGTCCAGGGGGTGCGGAATAGGATGTGGCTTAATGCGAATTCGAGCTGTATGCCTTCCCCGCGCTCATCTTCCTCTTCCCCAGGAGGGGGGGTTGCTGCGTCTTTTCTCTTAGACATCCTCTTTGAGGGCTCTCTCTGTCACGATTGTCCCGGCGTCTTCGTCGTTCCATTCTTTCGGCCTTTTGCATGGTTCTTTGATGTTGGAAATGGCTCGAATATTGATGCCGTCTTTGTTGTCTCTGTACATCAGTGGTGTGGGAGCGGCTGCCAACATTGTCTATGTGACAGACCTATCCATCTACACGTTACTGGTAAGTTTTGGTTCGCATCGGTTCCCTCAGTACAACTGGAGATGCCCTCAAATCCCGGAAGCTGACAATAGTAGGCACCATGCGCCCAGACGGCTATCTCATACAACATCTTTTCTCAGACATACTCGGCCTGCGGCGAAGCTCCGACAGATCTGCAGTCATGCATCTGCACAAAAAACAACAACCTGGCCGCCATCACCTCGTCCATCTCCAAGACCGTCAGCTACAGCTGCGGCTCGTCAGCTTCAGACGACCAGACCAGTGTCGCCGCTGTCATCAGCCAATACTGCAATCCCGACTCGTTAATCACCTTCGCGACGCCGACAACCAACATCGTCACGCAATATGCGACTGACGTCCCCGCCTTCTCCAACATGGCGCCGTGTGCGCAGTCTGGTGTATCATACGCCATCAGCTCGATGGTAAGCTCCGTCCCGGCGAGGGTATCGTAGACGCAGACCTGACATCCATCTTCAGACGTCCCTGTGCCCCGAGCCAGCCAGCCTGATGGCGCCCTGCATCTGCGCAAAGAACGACAACTCGGCGCGCGTGAGCCGCTCCATCGCGTCGCTCGTTCGGTACTCGTGCTCCAACGCGGCCGACGTCACGTCCGCCGGCGACTTCTACGACGCCTACTGCGCCATGAATAAGGGCACCACCGCCTTCCCGACGCCGACGCCGCCGCCCGGCGACATGACGTACTACATCACCGCGCTCTCGCAGTACAGCTCGCTGGTCCCGTGCGCGCAGTCGGGCATGTCGGACGCGATGTACTCCATCTCGAGGGACCTCTGCCCCAGCGGCCCGAAGGCGCTGGCCTCGTGTGTGTGTCTTAAGGACGGCGTGACGGCTATAGTTAGCAACACGTTGACGTCGGATGTCAAGTGGTACTGTACCTCGACGGCGTCGGCGGATATCTCGTCGGCGTTGGTTGTGCTGGATTACTACTGCAGCGCGGCCAAGGGGGCGGTGGTCGCGACGGTGGCCGAGTCAAGTAGGAACCTATTTCCAACGCTTTTGTGTTTTTGATGGACTAACCAATGCAGTTGCTCAAACTTACGCCACCGCGAAGACGGGTACGGGATCAGGGACTTCGGGCGCCCAGCCCACGGGCACCGCCACTTCTGACGGCACATCCGGCGGCGCGGGAACCAGCTCGAGCCGCCCGGGTATCGGGATCATCATTGGCGGCGTTATCGCGCTTGTCGGAGCGATCAGCATCGCCGGCCTCGTGGCATTCCTCATCTACCGCCGCAGGAAGAAGACCAAGCTGCCTCTGGCGTCGACCATCGGCCCGCCGGACGCGACTGGGAAGCCTGAGCTGGGCGGCACCATGCTTACCGAGCTACCACCCAAGAGCCCCTCGATGACCGTTTCTCAAGTAAGCTCCCCGCGGCCAGATACCATCTCGCCGGCGTCGGCATACGGTGGCGGTGGCTTTGGACAGTCGCCGATGGGGGCGGAGCTGCCTGGTCAAGGCCACACGCCCCCTGTGCCTGAGATGCCGGCGAATACCAACGGGCAGCTGCAGCCCGGCGGACAGTATATGCCCCCTGAGCTGCAGTCTCATGGAGGCTACGGGAACCAGTATGGACAGAGTTTGCCGTTGCCGCCTGAGCTGCAGGGTGGCGGTTACGCGCAGCCTCAGGGGCAGACTACGCCGATAGAGGCGCACGGCCAGCCGGTTCATCAGGCGTTCGGGGCACAGCAGGCGAGCTACCAGGTAGCGTATCAGCAGAGGACTGATCTTCAGGGAATGGTATGGCACTCGGGGCCGACGCCGGGATATTCTGAGCTGGATTCCGGCCATCAGAGACGGTAGCTGACGCGGGCAAGGGGATTGGAGGCAACAATTTATTGGATACCACGATGAAATAGACGTTAGGCTTCGAAGATTGGCAAATAATGGATAATGGTAACCTTGGGTATGACACTCAGATATACGGGCGTCATCTCAAATGGTGAAGGCTTGATGGTTAGTTTACTTCATCGTTAGTTGAATTAGAGATGATACAATGAATCAACAAACAATTCATACTACTAACACAACCCCACCGGTGCACTCTTTTGATAGCTAAATCTCATTTTAAGGTCTCATAAAAGCCTTCAGACAACTTTTGTCAAGTTTGATTGGTTAGAAGGGGACTTTCACGTAGAGTTCATCGTGTGTCCTTTTCCCAGCTGATGAACGCCACCTCACCGAGAATGTCTCACCGGTCACCGAAAAGGTCCTCGGTCAGCAGCTCTGACTTCATTGGACCCACCGACGGCCACAGCTGTGGCTGAGTCATCCGGGTGATTGTCGGTGAGCCAGGCAGCTCCAAGCTCTGTGCGCTTTGATTGGCCTAAAAAGCGCCTTCGCTGTCACCCTGTTGCTGGATGCAGCTTCTCTAGGTGGACAGAGCAGCCTTGCATCCCGTCCAGGTGCTCAGGCCGCCCAACCCAAGAAAACATCGGTCGCGCCTGGCCAAAATCTTGCGATTGTCGTCTCCTGTCGTCGCTTACAATCACCCCAACTTTTCGTCGCCCATCACCCCTTCAACGACGCCTCGATCACCAAACGCGGCGTTTGGGTGATTGCCGTCTGAAGACAAGGCTTCAACTGTTTATTTCCTTTGTTATTGTACTATTTCGAGCCTTCCCCTGTGCAAGACACCTTTCGACAGGCGGGGTGCCAACACGCGACGCCATCACCGCCACTCGACTTTTCGATTCTATACCTCCCTCGCCACGATTTGCGTTCGATGTCGAGAAGCAGAATCTGAGACAAGATCACAATGGCAGCGGCGGTGGACGTCGGCTACGTAGCTGGCCACCTCGGCTTGCCTGAGTCGACTGTGTCGACCGTCACAACCGAACCTACCCCCGAGCTCGTCGCAAGCCTTCTCGAGGCCGTTATTTCCAAGGCTCGTGAGTACGATGAACTGTATGCGCAAAAACTGCAGGTCGACATCGAGCTTGAGAGCGCGAACCACAGTGCCGAGTCAAAATGTCAGAGTTTCAAGGCGACCGCCGACAAGGCTTTGAAGGACGTGGAGGAAGTTCGCCAGAAGCTCAAGGAGGAAGGTTTGTGCCTGCCTTCCGTCCCCACTCGTTAGTATCTTTCCATCTTGCTGACGCCATGATTCACAGAGACGAAACGGCAAACGGTCGAGAATGAGCTCCAATCCCTCAAGTCCCGTGGTTCCGACTACGACTCCGAAATCACGACCCTCCGCGACCGCATCGAGTCACTTCAATCTTCGAACCGTGCAAACATGGCTCTGCTCGAGTCGCGCAATGCCCGCGACTCTGAGCTCTCCGAAGAGCTTGCGAAGCAG